AAAAAAAAAAAAGACACCTTTTGTTTTTCAAACCTTAGGCCTCCGCAGAGCTTTAGTTGCCAAAAGTATATCCTGACTCCCCATGGGGTGTTTCTCAGTGTCAGTTACTTGTACAAGAACCTGTTTTTAATCTCTCAGGGCTAGTATTCTGCAGGACATGGTTTCCAGAAGGGCTGCTGTAATTGGCTTAGGCTCTGGAAGAGTAGAAACCACATTGTCCTCCACTATGGATCCCCATGTTAGCTGAGTACAGCCATTTCTGAGTAAACTCTTGAGACATTTTTTTTAAGACTTTTTTATTGTTGGGGCACCTCAGTGGCTCAGTCGGTTAAACATCTGACTTGGGCTCCGGTCATGATCTCACGGTTCATGGGTTTGAGTCCTGTGTCGGGTTCTGTGCTGACAGCTCAGAGCCTGGAGCCTGTTTCAGATTCTGTGTCTCTCTCTCTCTGTCCCTGCCCCTCCCCCACTTATGCTGTCTCTTTCTGTCTTAAAAATAAACATTAAAAAAAATTTTTTTTAACTTTTTTATTGTTGGAAAAATTTCTATAAAATTCACCATTTAAACCATTTTAAAGTATATAGTTGAGAGGCATTTAGTCCATTCACAGTGTTGTGCGTCCATCACCATCCTCTGATTCCAGAACATTTTCATGATCCCAAAAGGAAACCCTGGACCCATTAAGCAGTCACTCCCCATTTCTCCCTCCCTCAGCCCTAGCAACCACAAACCTGCTTTCCATTTCTATGGATTTGCCTATTCTGGACATTTCCTATCGGTGGAATCAGATACAAGGTCTTAGACGTGCATGATACCTCTTCCCCTCCCACTCCCCCCCACCAGTGTAGTTCTTCATCATTGGCCAAACCTCATTCGTGTGTAAGTAACAGAAAGCAGCTCTCCATCTGGAAACCTCCAAGTCCTGTGGCCAGGTTAAAAATATCCTGGAATACTGTGGAAAAGGGTCAGTGGTGCAGTTGCCATGGCCATGAAATGGCCTGGGATTTCAGGAAGCTGGCTCGAGCCAGGCTGGGAGCCCTTTTGTGGTGGTGGAAGTGACAGGCTGTTGGCACAGTTGGATTTAACACCCTCACCCCTCCTCTCTCTCCCATCAGAGGTCTTCACTTCAGGCCACTCATCTTTTAATAACCACCAAACATGTCAGAGTGGGCTGGGCTCTTCGGGGAATCTTCATATGCCTTTCGGGCAAGATCTTCCAGCCCGAGGACTCATGCAAAAATTGGATGTCCTGGGGCTGTCTGTTTCATGTGTTGCAATTCCCAGGGGATGGGTCATTCCTCACCCACTAGAGAGATAGCTACTGGCCACCCCCTTGTAGCACCCTGTGCTCACTGGCCTTATGGGCTCGTGAAACCCCCACCTGTCGCTCCATTGAATTGCCAAGATTCTCTCGTCTCTGGGCTGCACCCTTCACTCCTCCACTTCTGATGCCCCTTGAGGCCGGGCACACCACTTCCAGAAGAAACCATTGTCAGTGTGCCACTCTTCTGCCCAAGGAACCTGTGGTATTTTCTTCGTGTCCAAACACCTTTCCAGTTTTTGAGTGTGTTTCTTTCCTTCTTGGTGTAGACCGTGACCCTTCAGACTCATCAGACTGGTCTTGTTCCTCTTCCCCCTAGAGCCTTTAGCTCTGCCTCCCCAGGCTTGGAACACCAGCCTGCTCTCTCCTTTTTTCCTTGACCAATCTGACTCTTCCTTGAAGCTTAGCTCGCAGCTCAGCGGCACAGGCACAGGGCTTCCCCGAACATTCCAGCAACTTTTGCTGCCCACACTACATTCATGTTGCAACTCTACTACCGCAGAATTTAGAACTGGCAACATTTTCCCCTAAAGATTTTATCACTTAGTCTTTCTCCCCTAGTCAGATGACTAGCTCTTGGAGGAAGGGACAGTAAAGTTAAGCAAGTAGAGTGGGAAGGCACCAGGCTGTGAATCTGAGGGCCAGGTCACCTGTGGGTATGGCCACTTGCTGGCTCTCTTGTCTTGGAAAAGCTACTTACCTTGAGCTTCTGTTCTCGTCTATAAAATGAGTGGGGGCGGGGAGTAAAGAGAGTGTTTTAGTTTCCTATTTGCTGCTATAACAAGTTACTATAAACTTAGTGGCTTAAAGCAACACAAATGTATTCCCTTGAGTTCTGGAGGTCAGAAGTTGAAAATGGATCTGTACGCAGCATTCCTCCAGGAGGCTCTTGGGAGAATCTGTTTCTTGTCTTTTCCAGCTTTTGGAGGATATCATTCTGTCAACCACAATGGATTCTTAGGTCTCTCTTGTGTCTCTAACATGCCATGGGTCTGAAGACACGTTTCTTCCAGTTATTTAGAGTTTAGCGCTGTACTAGACTCATTAATTTCTTGATAAGTTAGTTTATCCATGAGGATTTCCTCCTCTCAGATTGTTACTGGGGATTCCAGGGCCTATTGAAACTCAATAATAGAAAGAACTGTGAGCACAAACTTGAGGATTGTTTTGTTTTTAGACTCCCACTGACTGCACTTTGCTAGCGAAAATGTGACGATGCTTCTCTTCTTTTTTTTTTTTTTTTTTTTTTTTTTTTTTTTTTTTTTTTTTGATTTTCTGCTTTGCCCATTTTGAGAAAAGCCTCAAAGGATTTCATCTGTTTCCCAATAGCCAGGGGTAGCCTTTTAAGCAGCTTGTTAATTATACTGGTGATTCTGCTGTATGTCCAGTGGTCTTTCCATAAACTCCTGAATGTGTTTCCAGGTCCTTTTGCATAACTTGAAGTAGATGTGTCGTTAAGATCTAGAAGCCAAACAGACAAGGATACTAACCTAGATAATCTCATCTGTAATTGCTACTTAATGTTATGATATTTCACAGAAATTTAGATTGGTATGTATATGGGAGGTATGCTATTTTTCTTTGCCTGCATTCCATCGGGTGATGTCGCCTTGGGTAACCACCCCTTACAAAGCAGTGAGAAAGCGGGGAGCCTGGCTGGCTCAGTCCAAGGAACATGTGACTTGTGATTTGGGGGTCATGGGTTCGTGCCCCACATTGGGTGTAAAGATTTCTTAAATAAATACATAAACTTAAAATAAAAACAAAACCAGCAGTGAGAAATCATCCATAAAATCAACACCCTTCTCCACCCTCCAGTTAAGAGTTGAGGTTACTTTTTTGACTGTTGAGTCGAAGACATTTACAGTGTGAGTCAAGCATGTCTGTGGCCTGTGTATTGAAGCTTTCTTTCTATTTTGCTTTCTAGATGCACCCCTTGGGCCTATGTAATAACAATGACGAAGAGGACTTGTATGAATATGGCTGGGTAGGAGTAGTGAAGCTGGAACAGCCAGAACTGGACCCAAAACCATGCCTCACTGTCCTGGGCAAGGTAAGCGCCAGGCCCTTTGAATCTCTCTGATTCCGACTGGTGTTCTCTGCTCTCCCATTTCATCAGTTCCTCACATAGGTGGTTACAGAGAAGAGCCATCCCAGCACAGCCGTCTCTCCCAGCTGACCCATGTGGGGATAAGGACTAAGACATGTCCTGTGGCAGCCCACCGTGGTACTTCCAAGCTTGGACTGTGACGGAGCCTGCCAGCCTCAGAGTCGGCTCCACCTCTTGTCCACTCTGTGACTTTAGGCAAGTCACTTCCCCTCCAGGAGTCTCAGCTTCTTATCTGTGTAATGGTTTCATAATAGAGATTCATACTACCCTATACCCTTGGGGACAGAGGTGTCAGAACTCTGAGATTTGGGGAATTTAGAAAGGTGTTAAGGCTGTACATACTTTATATTAAGTAACCCCCAGGAGATCTGGGGCACTCCTTCATCATTAAACACCTCCATATTTGTGTAGCAACCTGTATGGATATTCACATTAAGCGGGATAACTAAAATCTCGTGTTAGTTCAGGGCAACTTTGCCTCTAAATGAGTTCAGGTTCATTAAGTTTTGCTGCCAAGTAAGTTCTGGAAAAACTCCTGGGTTTTTAGAGCTTTTTTGGTTTCAGAATGGCAGACGGCAATTATGGTCCTATATTAGAACTTACCTCAGAGGATGGTTAGGAGGAGAGATGAGATACAAACGACCAGCAGAGTAAGCTTTCAAAACATTTTTGCTGCCATTGGTTGCTGCCATCCCATTTAGAAGCACGAAATGAGAGACTCGTTAGCCAAGAAGGTCAGCTTTATCTCCGGCTGCAGTGTGAAGATAGAAAGAAATTTATTGTGGGAAAACTATCCATCAGTGATCTTAAAATATGACAGATGGCCATCTGTTTTAAACTGGATCATTTTGTTAAAGGGAAAGGTTTGAAGAAAGTTATTAGAATTCTAGTTAGAGGAAGGGCGGTATCTCCTAAGGATAGTGTTACTGCCTGAATATTTTTTTATAATCTCAGAAGGTGCTGTTTAGGTACCATGGGGAGACAGCTGGGGGGCAGGGGAAAAAAACATCCTGATTCCTGACCTCTTGATGATCCAGGCAGGAGAAGAGAGATGGTTTTGATGCAGGGTATTTTAGGGGGAGCCTTTTCCAGACTCCAAGATGCCCCAGGCAGTGTCTCATGAAAGGCTTTCAGTCCAGGAGACCATTATGGGTCTAAGCTAGGATTTTCATGCCCCTCTTGTCTTCTGAATAGCTTCTTGAGCACTTGTCAAGTTCTCCTGCCCTTTTATAAGGGTGGGAGGGGGCGGGGGGAACAACCCAGGAATTATTACCTGTCTGGTTTACAGTTCATGAAGTCAAATCAAGGTGTTTTAGGTGACCCAGGCCCTGATACTTCATCGTTTAAATAGTCGGCCAGAGCTGCTTAATGATGCTAGGAGAGCCGCGACCCCTTTGAGAATACTGTAGTGTTTTCCTAGGAGAAATGCCAGCTACATCCATAGGTTAGGAACACTGCTTTCCTTGTGGGCAGAACACTTCTCCTATAATATTTTCTCCTACACTTAAGCTGCTGCTATGCAGGGCCCAGCAGCTTGACTTAATTTGTTTTGCTCCAGCCCAGTGGAGCTCTGCCTTTGCATCTGTTGTGTCTACAAGTGGGTTGGAACAGCGCTCCCAGGGACACCCCATTGTTCTTCGATGGCTCAGTGCTGTTGAAGTCACTTGGAGAACCCGCTTGTTACCTTTTCCACCTAGAACAACCATGTAGTGGTTTTACTTGAAGAGGTTTGTATGGTTTGGCCTGCTGGCCTGTGAAGCCAGGGGGAATAAAAACCCTAGACATATATTGAATCATTAAGTACTTCTCGGGTTTATTCATTCACCAAATATTTATTGAATGCCGGGGCCCCGAAGCTAAGTGTGTGGTTCTACCTGCTTGCAAGCAACAGCCCTCCCTCCCCCCGCCACGTCTCTGGTTGGAAAGGCTGTGTGGTGGCCAGGCAGTATTTACACGTGGTTAGTTCCCGAAATTTGACTTAGCACCTGAATAAAATCATTAGCAAAAATGCTTGGGCCAGACAAAGCAAGACAGTTTCGCATTTGTTTAGAGCCTGGGTCTGTAAGGAGGTGTGATGACTCATTCATATCTCTCTCTCTCTCTCTCTCTCTCTCTTTTCCCTCCCTTTTTTTTTTCTTTCTACCTTCCTTCCTTCCTCTCTCTTTTCACTTCTCATTTAAAAAAATTTTTTACTGTTTGGTTTTTTTTGAGAGGAGAGAGCAACGAGGCAGGCAGGGCAGAGAGGGGAGACACAGTCTGAGCAGGCTCACTAGGCTCCAGGCTGGCAGCGGAGCCCGACATGAAGCTCTTCAGACTCCACAAACTGTGAGATCATGACCTGAGCTGAAGTCGGACACTTAACCACTATGACCCTAGGCTCTTTTATTTTATTTTATTTTATTTTATTTTATTTTATTTTATTTTATTTTATTTTTATTTATTTTATTTTATTTTATTTGTTTTTTAAATGTTTATTTTTGAGAGAGCCTAGAGTGCTCAAAGCAGGAGAGGGCAGAGACAGAGAACTGAGACACGAAGTCAAGCAGGCTCCAGGCTCCAAGCTGTTCAGCACAGAGGCAAAGCCAGCGGGCTCAAATGGGGAATAGCGAGATCATGACCTAACCGACAGGTCGGCTTAAACTGACTGGCCACCAGGTGCCCCTTCATTTCTCTTTTTTTTTTTTCAGTTTTTTATTTTTTTGGGACAGAGAGAGACAGAGCATGAAGTGGAGGGGCAGAGAGAAGGGAGACACAAGAGTGGAAACAGGCTCAGGCTCTGAGCCATCAGCCCCCAGGAGTGGCACGGGCTGAACTCGGACAGCCACGTGACCGTGAATCGTCGAACAACACTTTTTGAGCAGCTGTTAAGGTTTACACAGAGGAAAACATAAAGCCGACGGACTGAACATGCAGCCAGGCTCCTAGCAGAGCGGCCCATGACTCAACTCTGGACATCATTGACGCGGTAATCCGACGCACTCATCCACAAGCCCCTTTTCGTACAAGAAGTGTAGTTGTTCTCAGCTTCCCTTTTATTATCTTTGCTAACTGTGCCCTTTTTTTTTTTTTTTTTTTTTTAATCCAAGGGCAGTAGTGACTAGGGGACTAGGATAAAGAAAAGCACAGTGATCCTCATGGGCAGCCCTGTCTCCTGCAGATAGCATGCTTTTCTCTCATTTCTTTGCTCTCGTCGGCTATGTTGGCAAGGAAGGTGGAGCAGTGGAGAGAAGCACAAAAGGAAGAGATTACAGCCAAGTCAACATGGGGGCGGGGGAGGGACTCCTCCATATAGATGTTGAGACTTGCTGAAAACCATAGAAGGGAGGACTGTGTCAGGCACTCGGAAGAGCCTGTGGGAGAACAGGGGAGGGCCAGACACAGACCCCTCTCCCTCCCCCAGCCCTTACCCTCATCACCTACCCGCCCACAGAAAATGCCATGGGGCGAAATGTTGAAACAAGAGAGGAATGTCCTAAATTAAAAACCTGTAAATGCCTCTCCAGGAGTTCAAATAAAGTTTCGTTTTAAAAGCAAAAGACATAAACTCATCACCTTGGTTTATTACTGAATGCTTTTGAACTCCTCAGAAGGGAACACTATAAACTCATGAGAGAAAAATGATTTATGATCTTCTCCTTATAATCTTTTCAGTTCTGCAGGAGGCAGGGCAGACAGTGGGATCAGCTAGGGAGGTAGAGTTGGGGTGAGAGGGAGCCCCCCACAAGGATGTAGCCAGCCGGGGCACCAGGCCAGGCCCTGCATCACACCAGACCCAGAACAAATCTCTAGGCTTTCTGGGCCTTTCTCTTTCACTTTGTGTTAAGAGGCTGTTATGGGCTCCTTACTCTTCTAATATTTTGAGCTTCTGTGTCATTTAAAATCTCTTCCCTTGAGATTCTAGTTCGGGGAGGTTCTCTTTGCAGCATTGAAGGGCAGACTCGGTTTTTAAAATAGAATAAAATTGACATTTCTGAGCAACTTACTACTAAAAGTAAGGGTCTTCAGCCGTCCCCACAGTACAGGAATCTATGCTCATCCCCTGGGCATTTTAAGCCTTCAATTCAAACAGTGTTTATTAAACATCTTCTGGGACTGGCAAGAATTTTGAAGGTTGACTTTACCAGCTTCAGTTCCTATGATCTATCCATGTAACTGAGGGTCTCATGGCAGGAACACAGAGGATGTGTTGGAGTTTCTAACAAAGCCCGCCTGGCCCAGATTCCATAAATGGAGACAGAATGAACCTCTCCTCCCCCTCATCCCACCTTGCACTGGACTCTTACGGAGGGTTTTGAAAGACAGGACAGTCAACAGGCATGGACCAGCTCTTTCTGGTACTTAGGAGGACAGCGTGAGGAAATTATGAATCGAGACAAGAAAGGCAGGGAGTTCCGGGTCAAAGAGACCTAGCTCTAGCAGAGCCACCTCAGAGAGGTCACTTCAGTTCTGGGGCCCTTATGCTTGGGGCTCGTGCCTGAGGAGAACATAAAAGCAGCCATCACGTGTTAGGTGCTGGCTCAGCGCTAGGTAGGAGCTTTCTCTGCAGCATCTTCCGTTTTCAGACTGGCTCTGAGATCGTGTCCAGATTCCCGTTTTACCATGAGGAAATCAAGTCCCCGAGACATTCTCTACATAACGTAAGAGCAAACAGCTCCCAAGTCGCTGACCTGAGATCTGAGATAAAGACTGTTCTGCTGCCTCACCTATGTTAGTTTCTCCCCTTTGCCCCCTTTTGTCTTCCTAAAAATCGATGCTTTTCAGGAGTCACTGGCTTAGTTAGGACTGTTGGTTCCACTTAACAGAGACCCAGCTTGAGCTGTGTTTAGCCAAAAGGGGATTTGCTCTTGAGGCTCCTGGGTGGCTGCTGCCCTTCTAGAATAGTTGACTCTGGGCTCAGTGCCAGTGGCCCCTCCCCAGGTCTTCTGTATATATCTGCTTTTATT